TTACAGGACGAAATCTCCACAAAAATCCCAAATCTCCTCACACTACCAACAGGACATTATCGTCCCTGTCTTTTTCTGCAGGTCGTAAAAAAGGCGGCTTTTGCGACGGTGGCATTTATGGAATGATTTTGTATCCAAGACTTCGGCAAATTTCATTCTGCACAAGCTTTAACCGAGATAGTAAGGATTGCTTGTTGAAAATGCAAGAAGTAATAGCGATCTTTGTGTGAAAAATTGCATACATTTACACCTTTTCAAAAATACATTATTCGCTGACAACATATTAAGATAGCATGAATAATTGTGGCAGCAGGTCGTTGTTACCCGCGGGCTTTAAGGAGAATGTAGCTTCGACATCAAGCCGGCCGGAGAAGATTTGCATATGTTGTAGGACTAGGAATACTTATTTCCAGTCGGGTTTGCAAATATCCTGATCACATCGTATGACAGATATACCAATCCAAAAACAGTCAGCCATTGACCGTTGCTGATCATGCAGATGCCTGCACCCACTTATATGTTATTTTCGAAGTCTACCAGTCTACTAGTCCTACACTTTTGCGAGATATGTTATGCACCTAAACCATCACCACACTGTTGACCTAATGAGCCCTCTGATTGTGAGCCTAATAACGCTGATCATAAATCAAAGGCTAGCATCGTCATAGTTCTATGTGTTGTGGACAATTGTAGAATAACGAAGAATGCTGCGTGGGGTCGATTGGTTTATAGATAGAAGCCCGCTGGACCCGTACTGATGTAAGACACGAAGACACCATGCCTTGGACATGGCACAATAAAACGTGAACTTGCTGCTACAAATTTCATTTTCCAAAACAAAAACTGTCTCCCTGTGAATTTCTGTAGAGATTACACCATATAAATTCGGCCAAAACGGTTTTGCATTGGGTTATCGTATGTTGACTAACTGACGGTTTGCAATTACCTCCGATCAGCACTGACAGAGTTGTTTTGAAGGACGTTTTCAAATCTTAGCAAAGTCAAACCTTGAAATTGAGAAGAAACAGGCAGATGAATCACAAATCCATAACAGAAAACGTTAGAGCTCTTGGTAATATGATTGATAAAACCATTTATTAACAAAACCCAGGCCGCTCCAAATGTTTGGATGAAACAGATGCCCGTTAATCTATCAATAAGCCGGCCAGACGTGATAATGACGTACTTGAGGACGGTCTGCTTAGTATCGTGGGAGTTGGAGACATAGATACCCGCTGTGTCTTTGTAGATGCGGTTGCAGCCACGTTCGCCGCAACACCCTTTGGAACTCTGGCCAGTGTGTTCGCGTGGTAGAGATCCGTGGTACCATTTGAGACGTAGAAGAGTCGAAACCAGACGCAGCATAGGAAAATCAATTTCACGACATCCATTTTTGTTTCATGCAGGAGCTCATAAACGAAGGCAGCCGGCAACTTCAGTATCGCAAAGCTGAAATGCAAGGCAACAGACTAAGCACAAAGAGCAAATCCTTTAGCAGATAATGAGGTGAAATATTTGTTAAAACTAGAGGCAAGGGAAATTAGACCTATTCATGTTGCTATTAGCTATCCTGATGGTGTCTAGCTGATTCCATCCTCTTGTGTTGCTAAACCAGGTTTACTCAAAATAGTTTTCATCGTTAGAAAGGTTCTAAATGACTGAAACGACCAAACCTGTAGCAGCTGGAACCAAGTGCGCGCGAAACATTGTTTATAGCTCAAAAAGTTGTCGAAATGGTTGATTTTATATGATTTATTATTAACAAGCTCATTATGACGAAGAAGTCAAATGTACTTGATCGTGCCTATTGTCAGCAGACCTTTTTCCAGGATGCAAAGTTCAGCGGAAGAAACAACTAATATTTTTTCTCCTTCTGAATACTTATGAGGTAAAGTGATCTTGCTAGATTATTACGGTCAACTTGTTGTGATTCTCACGCAGACGAAGATAGGAATCAAACTCACGATCAGCAGACATTGGATGGCCAAATGCGGTACCATCTGCTGGACTCACGCTGTATATACGTTACAGGGGCTTTTGGATTTACTGGAGGTTTTTATATCACAGATTCATAGTTTCCCACAAGCCCCTAATCCCTCACATAAAGATCTAATTCTGTCACCTGCACATAATGTGCAGTGAAGTATACGGGTTGCGCAAATGCGTTGAGCTAGAAAGTGACCTGTTTCAAAAAACCTGTATGTTCCAATGTGGGAAATTACCATATTGCCTTGCTTTCAATATGCAAGGACTTGTTGTCGTAAATTGCCTCTAAAGAAACGGTAAATACATATAAATTAATGGAAGAATGGCAACCTAATCTAAAACCGTCTGCTACCACCCAAAGAAACGGAATGGTGTTGAGAACACCTCAGTGTGTTGTGTAGCTCCGAAATGAAACGTGAGTGCGCGTTCATGAGACAGAATGAGTTGGAGAATATCAAAACGATGTGTTTCGATGAATTTCGTATGCGTCTGCCGGGAACGCCAGTGTCATTTAGAAAAATTTCCATCGGAATAAACGTAAGAAAACAGCTAAATGGAGCTTCGATGGACCAGGTCTAGCTTGTGCGCTTCAAGGAATAGTAGTAGTATTTCCGTATTTATTATCAAACCTGTGAGCTGATTCCTATTTCTGAAGGCTAAATCGAATTGATTTTTTCGACGTTTTGCATAACCTGTTTCGCCAGGTGATAACTAATAAGTGGCCGAAAAGAGGCTTTATTATGTACCATGGATAATGTTTCATTATCGTGATATGATATTTAATCCTATCCCACAAACATATAGAAACGTTTGTTCGCTTAAAATTAAGAAACAAATAAACAAATTCTGATTTAAGGTGCCAGGAACATTCGTTCATTGATGACGACAGGTGGTGCTCAGACGTTCGGTGCACCTTTTCCCAGAGAACTATCACCAAATTCTAGGGTAATCTAATTAGAAATTTTTCTGCGGTTTCAAATAGGTCTGACGCCTGCGAAAATTTCACTCTATCTATAACGCAGTGTTTTTAACGCAAACTGAGATTCATTCAAAATGTCTTTAAACTGTTTTCCGCCGCTTATTTTATCTTGATCACAAAACCCTTGTGTAAAACTCTCGGAATGTTAAAGATGTTACCATGTTCCGGAAAATGTATTGCTTTCTTATAAGAAATGTTTTAAAAAAATACTTTGCGAACAAACACCAAGTTTCTCCAGTATGGTATAGATAGAACGACCCTGGCGAATATGTTTCAGATATAAGTCGTCGACTGTCGTGCACAAGAATAAAACCCGTTTGGTACATTTTCAATAAAGCTGCCTTGGTCAATCACGAATAAATTTGCTGGAAATGATCCGTAAGCGTTTTGCAGTCTCTTTATGACCCACAGCGTTTACCGAGTTTTATTGAAGTATGCGGAGACCGGTCACCAAGTTTGTGGTGTGCGTCACTCAGCGCCACTTATCCTATCCAAAAAACAGACAAATGGATACATACGTTGCTTGTTTGCTACCACAGAATCTGCTAACATAATTTTTTTAATTTCCGGTGCTGAGCACTCTAAAGTAGCACATGCAACTATCACAGTTGCAATGGATTTAACCTGTGCTAACTGACACGAATATCTTCAATGGCAGGAATACGTAGTTTAAGATCACTGGCATAACTAGAAGTCGTTAACCGTACACCATCAGCCAGCTCCTATACAGCTGGTTTACCCCCTGCGGCTTGCTGTTTTTCCCTTTCTCCGTACATTGGGTTAATCACACACAAATGTGTTTGTTGCCGACTATGTTCACAAGTTTACAGGTCGCTTGATGAACTGACCGGAAGAAGGTTTTTTGCTCACATTGCTGTGTTCTGACAACTTACATAGTGCTCCGACGATCTTGGGCGTATCGACCCTCTTTCGGCCTTTTATTGGTGTGTAATATTGATTACCCACTAATTACTGATAGCTATATCGACCTAATCGGTAAGCGGACAATAAAGACATTTAAAAGCGATCTAACTGACTTTGATACGCGGTAAAGAATGTACGTTGTTACCGGATGTTTGAAATAGTCTGGCCGAATTTCCATATAGAATATGTTTTCAGCATTTCACGTTGGCAACCACAGGACATAGTTTGAAGGAATCGAACAGGGGAAAATCGCTTTTTGGACAGGTGCCTTCCATCAAGACTATCATGGAAATCGATACAAGTTTCATCATAGCCTCAGTATTAGCAGTCGGTCACAGTCTCTTTCTTTATGTAAGAGCCAAGAATTACCATCGTCACAAGTGGTTTTATTGCGCAGTTTTTGTGAGAAGTTCATAACTTCGTCTTATTCACGTGTGCATGGCTAAATTTCATAAGTTGTAACAGTCATTGCAAAGCAAAAGTGTAAAGAACCAACAGTGGTCGGATGAATCGCACGTATAAACCTTTATTTAAATGTGCAACAGTCCTCCGCGGAGACTAGTGGTTCGAATTAAACTAGCATTCAGACCAGGCTAGACAAGATGAAGAAAATTTCTGTGGTAATTTGAGATGTTGTAAGCTTATGGCCAGAGTCAGTTTTGACGTGAATTTTGACTAAGTAAAAAAAATCACAGTGCAGGCACCTTGCCGCTGAGGAGTAGGGCGACATTGGAGGGACCGGAACGATTTGTGAAACCCCACAAGCATTAACCCACAGGATGAGCATTGTTGTGGGAAAGGAATCTTTGTAAGCTTTGATGCACAGAACAATCTTTCACAAAGTGATTTGCCGAATTTAGCTCACCGTGATAAAGGTTCAAACCCTAGTAATACCAGAGCTAATTTGAGTAAGCTCACTATCACCGCGGAAAGGCACTTCTTTGCGTACACCGTAATGCCTAAATTCTGTGGGGTAGCGGTCATTTGTTTGTTGTTCTGGCGAACGAATGCAAATATTTATAAATAATGCTCGTAATGGTATTTTCCGCATTGGAGCTTAACACAGGTATAGTAAAAACTCCTTGTGTTATTAAAGTGCACGACAAGTTAGTCCATTTTGCTTCAGCTCTCAGTAAACACCAAATATTCTAGCTTTACCCAAATGACTGTCAGCTCCCCTACAAGAAACGTTTGGCAAATTCTCGTCATTTTGCGATTATTCATTCAATCATTTGAATAGGGATTGAAAAAAATAATTTATTGTCTGCAAACGTCAAGAGACCGAAACTGTTAAAATAGTTGCAGGTACGAAATTATCCTTTTTCTCACCGTATTTACGATAAATAGCACCTTTTGTGCCAAAAATTACTCAAGATTGGGTGTTTGTCATACTTTATCAAGGAATTAAAGTAACACATTGAAAATTCCACTCTCTTCTCTACAGCATAATCAGCAAAGCATCCTAGCGTATCATAGCGAGCGTAGACAGTTGCCTTGGTCATCCCTGTTTTTCATATTTCCCCAAAATAAAAAACAGTTAATATTGTCCCTCAGATCAAATGCGCAGACCGGTATCCTTACACCTGACATCGCAGGTGCATGGTCAAGCGTATTTACAAATTCGGATGCATCAGCCGTTCACCAGGATGAACACTTATCACAGCGGGACATGTGGATGCAAAGGAGATGTGTACACAAGTAGTGAAAAAATAGGTGGCATTAGTTTCCATAAACCGCCCCTTTTTCGGGTTATTACGAAGCCCAACAAGTGACAATATTTACGGTGAAACATCGCTGATGTTTCTGGAAAAGAGTCGACCGAGAGACTTGCGCTATGATACTACAGTTTCGGGGCGTTTGGGTAGAATTAAGTGCACCAGCTTGCTCACATCTAGATGATGCCATTTAGTAAGGTGGCGGATAGTAGGATCCCAAAGTGAGCTAAACTGAGTGCACTGAATATCAAATACAGAACCTAGGAGTTGCACTACACAACCATAGCATGCTTCTAGGAAGCCCTATTGGTTTGACTGAAGGCCATATATTTTGTTTATTTGGCCATCACGATAGGGATGGAAAAAATTTAGGGCCTAATTGGTACTCGTTCTTTTTGGACCAAAGATGAGTTTAGGGTAGTTTGGATGCATGTATGTGTTGCTTCCGGTTTAAGGCACGCTGATGCTCATTTTACCACGTTGGGATTTTTTGCACGTGTGTTTCAACTCTACCCTTTTTCGCTTTTTGATCTCCAAAGGTGTTCATGTGTGAGGTAAGCCCAATCAAAAGGAAAGTTCGACTGACGCGCCCAGTGTGACTGGAATAGTTTAGCTGTGCATTGGTTTCAAGTGGCCGGATACACACGTGGAAGCAATTTGGCCAGAAAGCTACTAACATAAAAAAAGACAATGATTTTTCCCATGTATCTCAGTTGTTCCCATTTGTCAGTTCGGCGACAAGAAACCATCGCATAAACTATATGATTGTTGCTCATCGACAAAGTCGCACGGAGTTAGGGCTTTGTTCAACCGAGCAGATAATCGTTATATTGTAACGTGTTTGAAAATTTTTGGAGTAGCTTCATTCTTCATTTTCGTTCGAAACTATGGCTCTACGACTCACTTTTTGCTATTTGTTTTCAAAAAAGCAGCCCCGATTTTGCATGATGACCTCAGTATAAGTCGATAGTAGTGGTTTTGCATAATTTTCTAGGAATATTCAGGGCAATGCTTAGTAAGACTGCTGTGTGATGTTTGCCTAGTAAACCCAAAGGAGTTGGTAATTTTGATTGGATAAGTCAGCTGTTCTAATGTCAGGTGGCACACGCTTAATTCTCAAGCAAATAAACACTGTTTCACTAGTTTTGAGCCGATTCCTCACCGACCGTTTCCACTCACCACTTTACTGCAACGTGCTCGAATAACACCAATAAAGGATTAGACATCTGGATGTTAATGCCATCAACTGGTTTGATGATGAGCAAACAAGAGCAAAGCGGTAACTATGAAAAAGAATAAAATCGAATGATTTAAAAGTCATGCAGTTCATAAGGATTGACGGAAGTTACATCTGAATCTAGACAGAACCCAATAGCAGAGGTTATTTATCAGGTATTTTAAAATAACTTTCGTCAACAAGTAATGAAAAATGCTTTGTTATTGCAGTTTATTTGATCGTTACATTGGTAAGTGCTTAGGTGTTTTGCAAACTCCCTCTAAAGTGTACCTAGCGGATAATGTTGTAAACAGCTACACAAGCACCAAGTAAGATGTACAACTTTGTTCAAATTACATTTTTCATGCTGAAGTTGATTACAATCTTCATAAAACAAGGATGTATAAGAACAGAATCAATGTCTTATGAAAAAATCTTCCGTGCTAGGAGAGCGAACCTTTTATTTAATTCCTTCGTTTTTCTGTGGCATCTGTTTCGTTACTGTAAATGGAGCACTTTCCGTTAAGTCATTGCACGAAAGCACTCATGTATAAAATTTGCTTATTGCAGGCCTATTCATGAATCTAGGATAGCAACTTGAAACACAGGTATACCTAGGAATTTGAACAATCATATGTCGCGGTGGGTACAAAATATGAACAACTCCAACTTTTCTGGTGACTCTACTGTCGACGTAGCAATCAAGGATACCTGGTGGTCAGGGCAAATTCGTCGTCTGGTCTTCTGTGTGGGCCGCGCAAGATTATCATTACCGATGCTGAAAGCCTTGATTTTTTGTCCGTTGGACAGACGTGTCTTTTCCCATTCACGTTTGCCCATATATGGGCGATGTGGACCAAATATCATCACTAGCTAAGTTGGTAGAACATCTGTCTAGTAACTGGAAGACCGTAACGTGTACTCCCAACTCAGATGTACTTTTTATTCCATGGTATGCCCACTTATAATACGCATTTTCAAAGTATTTCGGTTGTTCGGGGATGTTTGTTTGTAGGCTTGCTCATGCTCGTATGTGCTAGAATAGTGGCATGAAACTTTACAATGTAAGAAAACCAGATGCCAATCGTATACCTAACGAACATTCGTAAATTAGTGAACTCAATTTCCTCAACCTCAACATTAAACTGTTGGGAATGTTTCTAATTTCTCGGTTTGCCTAGTTTCATGTTTGAAACAGCATTTCGGCCGATGCGTAGTTTGGATGTACAGCCTCACCGTCATTCAGAAATGTAGTCTTGTGTAATAAAGTGTTCTCATGCTAGAAGGCTTGAAATAGGAGTTCTACGAACCGAAGGGTTTTCTAGTAGCTTACTTAAACATGGTAGGAGCTTGAAATAAATTAAGATAATATTTTCCAATCCTGCCTCTAACTAAATTCAACGAAGAAGATTACCAGGAAACAAAGTTTCCACAAATTGAACACATTCCATCAAACCTGCATTCAATGCCGCGCGTGCAAATCCGTCAGCTGCAGATTTTGAATTGCATGTGAAATACTGTCCGTCCTCCGCAAAACCATTTATTTCGTCCGACGAACAGGTAGTGGAAGATATCCCATCCATCATCCGCAGTACTATTGACAAGAACCTCATCGATGGGTATTATCAATCCACTGCTTATCAGTATTAATTAAATTCATGATCACAACAACAAAGTGTTTGTTTGGTTCAGAAGAGGATTGGTGAAAACAAACTTTTCTGACTTGTGTTTTTCATGGGAGCAACACGGTTCGAAACAGGAAGTTGCAGATAAATTGTCAGAATAAACGCGACAACAAGCAATGATCTTGTGCGCGATTTTCCAAACTGAATTGGTTGCATTCTTAAAGGTACAGATTTTCCACGAAAAATCTTCCCATTAGTCTATTTATTTATTTATTTTATTTTTGATTACCAATATGATAGACCAAGCACGAAAAATTAAGCGCCCACATTCTTTTGTTACGCATTTCCATTATGTAGGCTTTAACTGGTTTCGGCAGTGGCTTGCCAAATACACTTTGTTACAACTTCTCGGAACGGAAAATCGATGTCTGAACAGTATTTCTATCGTTTAGGAAGGTCTGTCCTTCTGGGCTGTGAATTAATGAAAATAGCCCTTTAAAAAATCGAAAGCTCCTTTTGCAGGGTAACTAAGATAGAAATTTGAACCCCAATTTAAGAACGTAAACGGGAGACCCATCTGTGTTCGAGATGAGTTTCACGTCGACATTGTGTATAAGGTGAAGTTAAGTCTCGCCCAAAAGGTCTATCGTTTTGGTGATTAGTTTTTCAACCAACCACGTTAACCAGGTCCCATCTAAAGTATTCAATATAATGATGGATATGGGCCCGAAAAGAACTATTGTATTTTGCACTTTTGATAGATCATGAACAAAGCCTATCAAACAATAGGCATGCTATCCGTCCCCGTGTTGATAAACTACATTCCTATTAATAGCACAGGCGTAGATTGTTAAAAGGGGATCCGCAATCATTTAAACGTAAAGTCATATATACACCAGTTTGTGGAAGAGGATACAAACAGCTTGACACAAGTTAACTGTTTATCCGCAAACTTGAGCGGTTGATTTTTGACAAATCAAAAGCAGAGTTTTCCTCAAAACTGTCCCTTAAAAATCCAATTGAATGGTGAAGTTGCAAGCTTCAACTGGTATTTCAAGGAAGTAAAGATGACGTCCACCAAGAAAAGTGTCGTTCTAACTGACATTTAATGACCACCTTCGGGAAGGACGTCCAAACACACGGGATGGAAACGGTCTATATTTATGATATTCAGATTTGAATTGCTATCCAGGACAAATTAAATGGTGCATGAACCATAATGGTACTTTTCGGATAATGCAAAGATAAACGTATAGCCTGATCAAGGACCCGTATATCTCCGCTCGACATTTAGCGTCTTCTCAAGATTCGCCATATTTTCAAGACTTTCTATCTGAAACGTTTAGCTCACTGGTTACCATGTCGCTGGGGTCCATAGGTAAACCGCTGAGCCACCAAGCACGTAGTAGTTTTTAAAGTCAATATTTACCTCAGAATAGCCCATGATATAAGCGCGCTGCTTGTTATATTCCTGGTCTCTGTGAAACAATTTAAGTCAAACCGACTGCATGACGCCGTATTCACACATCTGCATAGTTATAAAACGGAGATGAATCTCAAAGATGAGATCGATTGCAGAGAAGGCACAAAAGTGTATCAAGCATCATTAAGCGGTAAACAAAAAGCGAGGGTAAACCCGGGGTTAGAGTTCGGGTTTTCATAAGCATTTACTGTGCTGAGTGATCAGTAGTGTTCTGAAAAGAGCGAAATCCCGTCACACCGGAAAATTTTCCCTAAAGCACCTCAGGTATTATATTATTTTTATGTACCGTGAGCATCACTTGGTTTATATTCAATCGAAGTATCCATATAGTACGATTTAAAATCCAGGCTTATATTTTTGGTGGCTGTATGAACGATTACAATGATGACGTATAGGTTGCTAATTATGTCACTTAGTTGTTTAAATAACGTCTTTTACAGTGCTTAGAAACAAGTGACACTCTTCAGGATCCTCCTCGTGTAACTAACGAACTCACTTTTGTTCGCATTCAGTCACTGACTCTGAATACTGCGCTAAGTTAATACCTTAACAGTTCTTAATATTTCTCACTCAGGTAACCATGGGTAAATTGACATATTTGAAATTGTGCTTCAAAAATGTGACAAACCTATTTTTTGCCTAAATAGTCAGACAGCAAATTCCCTACCAACTTTCAAGCTTTCAACAATGCACCCAAGTAATTTTTCCTCTACGTGAGAAGCAATTAGGTTGTGTAATTGATCAGATGTAATTTGATACAGTGTGGCTGCCTTTCAGTTCATAAAAAGCGTAATTATTCCAGGAGGAGCGAATGTTACAATGTGTAGTCTAACCAGTGTGATTACCCTACCGTGCTGTTCTAAGGATTTGGCGAAACCTACAAAAAGAATTTTTCCACATTCCAGGTATCACCAAATAGTGTGGTCTGATGGTGGGAAAAGCGACACTACTGGTGAAAACTTTGGAAACAAGAATTATCTGACTAACGGTTTACACAACATATATTCCTATGTAATGTCCATTTATACAGGAAATAAGATCAAAGCTGTATCGGCTTCACTGCATCATTTGTTATTAGGTAAACTCCATGTTTTTCGATAACTCAACGAAGAATTTTATGCGTCGACTGATTTCTTTGTTTCAAAGCCAAGCGAATAATAAATTAGGGATTTTCAAAGACCCGTCTTTTTATAAATTTTATGCCGATTTACTCCCAAATCTAGCGGAAAAATTTCCAACAATGGTCATTAAATTGAATGCCCTTTTCTCCATTATTCCTAAATCAGAGAGTGAAGTTTATATGGTTATAGCCTATAGTTGTACAAAGAAGCAGCTAAAAAAACACTCTTTTGATTGTTTCTGCTTTTATGCTTTGAAAGTTTGGAGTATTGTAGATGAAATCTAGGTGTATGAGATGCTAATATGCTTTTCTGTATACAAGGCCCTTGTGCAGTGGGGATAATTGTAGATGGTTGGTCTTTCGTGGATGTGTATCTCGTTAATTTATTGATCACCTTGGGTGCCTGCTGGGACTGATCACCAACTTTCTGATTCCTGAGAAGCTCCATAAAAGTTAACATCGCTTTTTCGGAAAGTGGCAACATATTATTTGTAAGTGACGATTTCCGGGTCCAACTCATATGTCACCTGTTATTCCCGTCCATGCAAGTGGCTAAGTTAACAGGTGATGTAGATCGTTTGACTCCCAACTCGCCGACAAACGAAATTGGAAACAACAACCCGTCATGAGACTTCTTTATAATCCATATTTTGTTAATAAACGTCTTGTTGTTTGACTTCAAAGAAGGTAACTCGTGGTGAGCGTAATGTCGAATTGCACTAAGCAAACCAGTTCACTTTGTTTTCGAGCAAAATCCTTGGGGTGCAAAAGCAGTCAGCCACCCACCTCTAATGCCTATAATTTTGACTGTTGGCATCTCCAAAAATCCGGGTGGATCGTTTGACTGCGGATCGGCAGGCATAATGCATGCCTTGTCAACATACAACAAAGAATGCACTGTTTTCCCAACGCCATCATTACAGAATTTTCGCACAGGCGAATCATATGGTTACACAAAATGCAATCCGATGCGGTTAACCGGGGTTCAGTGCAATTCTTTTGTTTTCCTGCTTGTGATGTATGCGATTCTCATTGATGACATGCTACCCAACCGATCCTAGTGGCGAATCGCCTAAGAGGGTTTATGCCACCTTTATCAAATTGCAGCCAAAAAACTAAAATTTTGACAGATATTTCTTCTGATATTCCGGATGGAACAACAACAAAAATTGCTTCAGGAAAGTTCTTGTACGCATAATTTAATGTAGACTCATTTATTTTTGCACAACCGGTATAGACTAGTTTTGCTAGGTAAAAAAAGACTTCTAGGAATATCACTTACAAGGTATTTCAAATACAAATGTGCCCGCCAAATTCTACTCTACACATCACACAATGGCGAGAGGTAAATTACAAAATATAAATACCGACTGCACCGCTGACAATTGGCTCTTGCGGTAGGTAACAAATTAGTGGAAAGTTNCAATGATGAGAGGTAAATTACAAAATATAAATACCGACTGAACCGCTGACAATTGGCTCTTGCGTTAACTAACAAATTAGTGGAAAGTTATCTCACTCACCAATGCTAAAAGCACCCTGGCATGTATTTTATCAGTTTTCTAAACTATATACGGGACTGATAACGTGACACTCCTGGAACATATGAGAGTTTTTCATGCAAAAAACACAATTTGAGTAAAAGTCGAGGCTTCCAAAATTTTACATTGTTATTCAAAGCACTACCGTTAATATAAGAATCTCTTTATAACATGCGTAAACGTAACCTGATCAAAAGAGCTTTAATCGCAAGGGCTAGCAGAATCAGTGAAATAAGTTGTCTCTCGCATGGACGGATGAGGATTTTGGCGTCGATCACTCTTATCGAAGACGGCCGAATGTAACAAATTTCTAAAACATATGGTAAAACAAACAATTGATATCTCTGGAGAGTTACGCTTAATCATTAAAAACATTTCATTGGAGCCTCCAGTAGAACTTAATACACTGTTTTTGCCAACTATTATGTTCACCTGACTTAAGTGTCACAAAATATCCGTGTGTTGAACTGAAATACTCGTGGAATTAGGATATGAATACTCAATGAATGGTGAGGAAGAGCAAATTTCTCACTCGTTTTTTCTGTGAGAAATAAATAGCCTATGTCTGATGTCCAACACTTCCTCCATGTTCATCTACGTTTCACTTGCTTTAAATCAACATGCATAGCCAGCTGTCCACGTTCGTCTTTCGACCGTATTGCAATATTTCCCCCGGAAATCTTGAAAGTTTAATTCAGACGTTAAGGTTAATATAGAGTATTTTTCCTTTGGCGTAATCAAACAAGTTTATCCAGCAATGCAATTTCTCACATTTGATCCATTATGTTTATCGCTACCCGATTTTATACTCTCAATAGAATTTTGTACCTTTCGGAACTTGTCATACCTGGTCACTAAAAGCCCAGTAAATCGAGCTAGGAAATAGGCTGCTCCAGTGTTTATTATACAAGAGTTTGTTACCAAGTGTTGTACTACTAACTTCAGGAAATTCTGCCCACAGTTGAGATAAGCAATAAACTCCTTGTGCAATCATGGTTTGTAATACCACCTCCTTAAACCAAGGATCCACTCAGAGTTAGAAGACTCCTTGCCCATGGCATTTTCAGTTTACCCAGTGATGCGTTGCCTGAAGAAACTTCAGAGTCTCTTACAGGTATCAACAAAAGTTGCCTGTCGCAAACATTTTCCAAAGCTTACATTTTGCGGTGCCAGATAAGATGATGATAAGTGGGATGTTTGGGTCACGCTATTCTTTGGATGAGCGAAAGAGAACAATGGATTATTTTGGGGATGAAAACCAAAAACCTATCTATTCCCTTCTTCTTGTAGTCGGTTTGCTATCACGCAATACATGCACGATATAGAAAACTTATGCCTCGTTCAATCAGTCCTCATGTAGTTTGTGTACAAAGGAAATTTTATTACAACTGTAGTTTAGATAGTGCTTAACTGAACAATAACCCACTTGAATTGGAGTGGTCGTTCTAAGGCAGATTGACTGGGATAGGGATAATTGGTACTTCCGGTTACTTTCTCCAAGACATTCCAATTCACATGTAATTATTATTATTATTATTGGAATGACATCATTTTACCTACCTTCAGAAAGTGTTTGCCGTCGGTTCGATGTGTGATGGTGCTTGCTCGTAAGCAAAGCCTCAGGACTATGTCCATTTTCATACTAAAATGGTCAGGTATTAGTTAAAAAATGTCACAAACACACTTGTAGAATCTACCAAAAAATACATTTGCTAAAGCAGAACGTTTTAGGTAAAATAAAAGATTGTAAACGATTAGAATTAAAGTTACATACATCAGATTACTTATTGTCTTTTTTTTCGAAGAAGCAAAATAAAATGTTGTAAAGAAAATTTTGGGGTCTTGCGAGCGGAAACGAATTTTGTGTTCATTGACTCCCATCAAATCGCATAATAGATGACCGAATCAAACTGACTGTGAATGATTTGGAACGGAACAACCAATGACGTATGCAGTATTATTTCGGCTCAAAGACGGCAACACTTGTTAGTCAGGTTGTGCGCCGCATTATCAAATTGTGAGAGTGATAGTCGATGTTTTGGGGCCAATTATTTTAAGAATAAGCTGACTTTACAAAAAAATGAAACCCTGGAGATCAGTCACTAATATTGGTTAACGTATGTAGTATAAGTACGGTGAATAAGGGAAATTAAGGGAAGTATGAACTTCGTTACCTTTCGGGTCGCAAAACAGTGTTTCATGAAGTACGTTTCTGACGGTTAGACTAACCGTGCTTCTTAGCGGTTGTTGATCAAAAAACGGATATTGCAGGGTATAAAATTATTTCGTTGCTGTTTACACCGCGTTTTGCTCCTACAAAGCATGCTATATTTGGTAGTGGCATAGTTTCAGGCAAACAAACGTTCTACCTAGTTTCAAAAGGGTCGGTAGAAGGTTCTGCTGACTGTGTCAAGTTATAATAAATTTCTGTGAGGCCACAGTCACTTTGTTTTGATTTCAAAGTGCGCTCAGCTGCTTTGTCTGCAGCTGGTGCACGTAAAGCCGCACCTAATGCGGTTATGGAACTGAAAGTTTTTTCTTTGGGAGACAGCATGATACACTTGACAGAAGAAAATGATTTCGCCCCTAAACTAACCGCAATTAGTGCCTAAATAACAATCATGACTTACCCGGTACCAGGGATATTTTTTGAATATATTCAACAAAGAACAAAACCAACGTATTTGAATGACAAATATTTTTATTTTAGTTGTTTGTTATGATACCTATTCCTTATCATAGCCGCCGCTTCATTATGCACCCGACGACTGCTGGTGCGGGACGTCTACGAAACCAGCCATTTGTGGACAGTGCCAAAAAAAGCTAAAGCCTGGGTTTTCCTAGGGTGTGCAAGTTGTATATGATAGGAAATGCATACGCCACGATAAACCACGGAAAGGACTGCCAAATATTATACAGTTGCGTGAAGGATCTACTGGACTCGTAAAAAAGGCCACAAGCAAGGAGGTATGTTGATCAATAATTCAGCCCCAGCGGCCTTCTAGTAAAAGGTCGCGTTTGCAGCTGCTCAAATTGTGCAAATTTAGGTTTGTTTATGAATTTATTTCGCTGGTATCATTAAAATGATTATTTTAAAAAGATTTTCCTCCTTTAGTTGCCCTGAAATCAGTGAATTTAAAAAATTGATCGCATCCAGTTAGGTCTCAACAAAAGCGGCATATTTTTGCTGCGGGAATAGTCTCAACTAGTATAAGTTATCGATTTGCCCGAAAGGTGCTAAATGTCCAACTAATATAGAAAACTAGAAACATCTTGTGACAAATTCGGTGCATGAATGTTCTTTATTAATTTGAGGTCACCACTTAAAATAATTAAGAAACCACCATGCTCTTCTGCCACCATATCACTAAAAAGATAATAAAGCATTTTGAAGTGAATTTCACCGTAAGTTGGTACTATTAGTTGTGGCGATAAGTTTCGCGGAGTACCCTTTTTCTACTAGAGCCAATTTTAGTCCCTCGGTAAACTCCTTTGAACCTCAAATGTTCTAAAATTCAATTATTAACTTCTTGTCCGACATAGCAAATAGATTTGACTACCAAAATATAACATGTTTACTTTATTTTGACCGAACGAAATCGCTCGCTTCAGCCACATAATATCATATTATTCAGTTTTGCAATACACGTCCCCCCCCTACTTCACAGCAACCAGTTTCCTTCTTTTTGATTGGCGCTAGAATTCAGTGATCTGAAATGTACGCACTGTCCAGAAACCGGCGCACCATAAATTCAATTTGTGAATTCGATTTTATGTTGAACACAAAACTTACAATCAGTAAGAATGTTATTCATTCATAGGGAATTGCTGGTTAGTAGTGGAGTGGACTGCTTGAGTTCGATTTGGACGCAGTTCTTTAAACAGATTGCCCGAGGTCAAAGACTCGCAGGTGGTGTAGCATCCAGAAATTTAATTTTAAAGCATTCACAAATGAAAAGACAACACCATAATTAAACCAATTCTTAATTTTCCGTAAAGTGCGGCAGCCTCTAACGAAATCTGTAATTACGTCGTTTTAAAGCAGTGTTTGGGGTACATATTGTAACTATGTTGTCCGCTTAATTCCGAAATCGTTTGGATAAGCTCTAAACCAACATCCTGTTTGTTCCTTTGTGTCTTCTTACGTGATAAAGTTCTGCTTTCGTTACTTACATCAGACCGCACTATGAGCTTAACTAGGCTTTTTAGAAACACTGGCGTGTGTCTCAAGAGCCTCCCGGGGTGTTCAAACAAGCCACCCTCAGGGAAGGTAATTGGATGCTGCCAGCTGGCTTCAAATCGGTGTCACCCCTGTGATATTAGCTTAAATATGCAGACGTATTTTTACACACACCGACCAGCTTAAGAGATGACTTGTGGGTGTAACCCCTAAGGGAAAGTTTGCTATGCTAAGTTAAAGCGGCCGTTCAAAATCGTGGGTTTAGAGGCTGACTCCTTTCTGGCTCTTTGACCATTAACCCGAAGTGCTTTCTTTTTATATAAGTATGACTCCCTGATATCCTAGATAAGGGGCGTGACCTAACACCGAAAATTAACCAAATTGAACACTGGCGTAATAATGCCTAATGCGGCAGCAGTATGAACTACCGTACAGTGGTTATCAATCTTCTTCCCATGGGATTACACAGAAATCTGAATTCGCAGGTGCATCTGGTGTTGCGTGACTCGTTAACCTAACAAAGTGCGTCACAGGCCTTTGGTGGTCTGACCGTCATTGAAGACGAGACTGAACGGGATGTTAGCCAACCGAGGTTCACGCATATTCCAAAGACCATGTTTGGGAATCCAGTAAGTATGTAAGTGCCAGGCGACAGTTCCTAAAAGATAAGGGTGTTGTTTATAAGCTTTTCTTACAGCAGAAAGTCAGAAAAATATGGATCCTGAATTTCACAAGTTGCGCGCCACAGATGATTTTTGTCATAAACAAACAAGCGTCACATCTCACCTTGGCATTTTTATCAGGAGCCGACTTCGAGTTCAATGATAAACCCTAACGGATATCACATGGCTGCTTCCTGGTCACCAATAAATTATTTCTTCATCCATTTAAAATAGCTTGGAAATTAAATCTTCTTACTCTAGTGAAAAGATATACATCGTTTGCTTTCACCTTGGATACCGTTTTCCGTTGTGTAGGCGAATTCGTTTACGAGAGGAGTCTTTACAGGCTCTTACAATCCATCAGCGCGATTTATTTTTGATATTTTTCCCCTGGTAAACGTCACACATTGTGTCAAAATGTTTTTTAGTTCTGGCATGATCCACTAAGGACCAAAGACTCATTTGGGCTCAAACGAATTTGGACATGGAAAGTTACAACACTTCAAACATACATTCCTCTTCACAAACTTGAACAAAACAAGAACAAGCAACATCTCAGCAGGACAACAAGAACACTAGGGGTTTCATCTTTTAGTTCACTCGCCAGCTCGAATTTATATCTTATAGCAAACTGATGAGGTAAATGACGACGACGTAGGAGGACGTATGAAACATCAACGTTACGTATCCTAGCAAGCAAAAGTCGTGCGAAATGCAGTCAAAGTACGGAGGGAGTAAAAATCTGTTTTTAAAGAAATCGGTCTTCCAAAACATTCCCCGGTTTATTATGCGAGTGGATTTTTTTGGGCAGGTGGCGTCGCTATCAAACTATTTGAGATAAATTTGCAGTAGTTGAATTCCTTAAAAGAATGCCTCCGTAGAGCCTGCGCAAAACTGTCGCGTGAATGTTGCAGTAGCACAGTTTGTCAATAATGTTGTTGAATATGCCCTATCATCGACTATATTTCTGTCGGCATATACACGTTAGAATGCCGTATCTGTTCTTGTCGACAGTTCAGGCTGCTTAGATTGTTAGACAACGGCCGTCTGGTTAGTTAACGCATCAAAATGATGAGAAATAAAGGTTTGTCTGTCAAACCCATGCTGAAAAACGCATCATTCCACGTGTGTTTCGTCAGCCCAGATAATTCTATCATATACAAATTACCGATATTTTGCCGATTTATTCAACTCATGACTAGCTTCATCTCCGATGACGCCCCGGCGAGCCTCGTTTTTACCAAGAGGTGATGACAGATGCAGACCTACATAAAACATCCGACACCATAAACCTGAGTTTTTAAATAACACAACAATAAAGTAAAGCGGGGTTCAGAAAACAGGAGACGGGTAAATATCACGATTCCAAAAGGTTTTTTTATCGACTCAGGCAAATATTTCTCCTCAGAAATTACCCATCCCGTTGGACCATTAAGTGTTTTCTCATCGTGGACTGATAACATAGCCAACTGGACTTCTTCATGCGATTTAGATAACCAAACAGCCAGCACCAGTTCTGCTTCTTGTTTGCACTATCTAGTTTGTTTTGGACTCCAAACTGTACAAGGAAATTGGGGGTACTAACTGTATCTATAAATGCACCTTGTAATAAGTCACACTGGCTTATTACATTCGCTAAATTTGGGTCTGTTGCATGATTGTTTCGCAGTTTAGGTAACGTTAATGTTTCACTTTGCAATACTGTAAATAATCTTGCAGCGTTTGATCAGTTCACAGGTGAAGTATGGTTTAAACTGTCACCATCGATCACCAATGGAATCGGTTGTATTCAACTACTCA